TTATATTTCTCTTCCCACTATGGTGCCCTCATGGGCAGTCAGTACTAGAATCAGCCACAACAATGAGGATATGAAAATTGTAAATAACAACTGTGAGAAAGCGCTTTAATGCTGCATACATGTTTGAGAAAAGTGAGTCTCTTGGCATCACTTTGAACACTGAAATTTCTATGAGGTTTTCACTCTGTCACATATTTAATCTACCGTATATGCCGGCGTACAAGGCGACCCGGCGTATAAGACGACCCCCGTCTTTATCGCCGAGCCGCATTCCTAGAACATCGTCTTATACGCCAGAAACTACCAGTATTTCCGGCGTATAAGACAACTCGGCGTATAAGATGACCCCTGTCTTTGGCGCCGATTTTAGCGCTCGCGAAGTTGCCTTATACGCCGGCATATACGGTATTCCTTTTTACAACAGAGTCCCATCCCAGCAATCCTTCTGTTAGTCTTCTATCCCAGACTGCTGCAAGGCACATTTTTGAGGGTAACTAAGAAGCATAAAGCACCAAGGATAAGTTTATATCTTTTATAGTTGACCTTCAGAGTGTTAACGACCAGCTGACTGCAAAGAATATAAATCCTTCTATTCCCATTCAGTCAGAACTGAAGAAGCTCTTTGGATGAGAAGTGAAATGTTTTCAAGGAAAAACCGGGGAAAGTCCGGTTGCCTTTGGAAAAGCACCTTTGAGAGTGCACATGTGATGTTTCTCAGCCTGCTTCCTGCACTCGTGCTTTGAGGAAGTGGAAAGCAGAAACACTCCCTAAGCTTGATCTTATTATCTATGTAGGCAGGTAGCCAAATGTATCAGATGAGGATGAACAGCCTTTACTAATTAGGTATATACGAACTAGGAAGGAAATCCAATTATCATTCTGCCAAGGCAAGATCCACCGTTAAGAATGGTGACAATTTCTGACAAAAGATGGTTTCAGGAGTACTAATTATAATCTCTCAACTGGGGTTATATGAAGTCCCAACTAACCTCTGAAACCCCTGGGTGTTCCCATCTTCCGAAGTAAGTACTGCCTCTTTCAATCAATCACCTTCTCCCAATGGTCCATAGACAGTACTGGAAAGGAACTGAGCAAAGAGTTAGTAGATAAGCATACAGCAAGTAATCCTAAACTATGCAGCTCAGCAGGTATTGGCACCTCTTCAGAGCAAATAATTAGATAATTGTTGCATGGTAGTGCCACTGGTGCTTCATTGCGACACTGTTTGGGCATGTAGTAAGCAAAGGCCAGGCGCAATGAAAAAATGGTACTGCCAGGGAGCAGACAGCCATAATTTCATACCTCCTTGCCTTTCCCACCTGTGGCTGTCTTCACTGAAGCTGTTGTGAATATTCAGAATGAACCAACCAATACTCTGTTCAGCAAGGAAGTGCAAAAATCAGCCTTCAGCTGGTGCTCTGTTCCTTATCTTTGTTTCTTCAGTATTTCTTTTCGCAATGGAAAAGTAAAAATAAAAATAAACAAATCATTGTACAGACACTAGAGTGCTATCAAGGCTGAGCAACTATGGAAAGGAAGGAAAGCTGAGGATTGGGAGAAGACCCACCAAGTGGGCTGCCAGCCAAGTTTCCCAGACCAATAAAATCAGAAATTGCAAAATGGGAATATAATAATTTGAACAGCATTGCAACTGAGTTGGGGGGGGGGGAAATCAGCTCAGATACCAGTTGGCACCAGTGACATGTAATCAGAGAGATGCAATCTGATCAGAGAAACAAAGTCCTGTGTAGAAGTGTCAGGGTTGAGGCCTCTGTGCTCTTGAGCTTCTTGGTAGACCATATAAGGAAACTGCATTTCTTTTCATATTTAGAATGGATTGCATAGGTTGTTTTTTTTTTTAAAAAAAGAAACAGTGTCTTTTTTAAGTGGGAAGGGAGGTTTTACAAAGTACCTCTGTTTAAAAAAAACATAAAAACCTAACAGCTATAGCAGTTTCTCCTGCAATGCATTTACCTCTTCAAAAGTTAGGAGAGAGTGAGCAATGGGAGGGAGAGATAAGAAATAGCAAAAAAGGTTCCAAGATGTGGTGCAATGGAGATGCCTCTAAAAGATTTGCATAAACTTTTTAAGCCACAGGGACACTCCTTAACCTGATGGTTCAATCTTGGAAACAACATTGGAAACAATCTTAGAAACATTCTTGAAAAGGATGATAGAATGGGGACAAGATGATGGAGAACAGAAAACTAAGTGATGCTCAACCTTACTGTGTTTTTCAAACTACAGGTAGTCCTTGACTTACAACAGTTCATTAGTGACTGTTTGAAGTTACAACCGCACTGAAAAAAGTGACTTATGATCATTTTTCACACTTCTGACCATTGCAACATCCCCACGATCATGTGTTTTACATTTGGACGCTGATAGCTGGTTCATATTTATGATGGGTGCAGTGTCCCACGGTCATGTGATCACCTTTTGTGACCTTCTGACTAGCGAAGTCAATGGGGAAGCCAGATTCACTTAACAACTGTGTTACTAATTTAACAGCTTAAGTGATTCACTTAACAAATGCAGCAAGAAAAGTTGTAAAATGGGGCAAATCTCCCTTAACAAATTTCTCACTTAATTTTAGGCTCAGTTGTGGTCACAAATTGAAGATTACCTTTGGTGTATGGTTCTCAGAATCTGTGGAAAACCTTCCCATTATGTGTGTGTTAAAGTAATAATAATCAGTCTAGTCATCTCCATGGAATATGAAAACTTGAAATTGAGGCATTTAGAATAATTGGCTCTCTTGCCAATCCCATCAAAGAAGAATTTGCTTCTATCCAAAACATTTCAACATTTTTTTGAAGGTAAGACTGGCATTTGAACTTCAAGATGTGTGGTGGTAGCAATTTTCCAAAACCCAAAGGCTATGTGTATATATTTTTCTACTGCACTTCATCCTGCTTATTGGTGCAAAGGAAAGAATGACAGGTACCTATTTCTTTTTTATTTATAAAATGAAAACTAGATAAGGGTTTAGAAGTCCACTCCAATCACCAGTTGTGGAATCCACTTTTGGTACTTGTTTTAGATTAAAAACAATGGAAGAAAACCCACACAGGAATAAGGATTGTGTAGTTTGAACTTTGTCATGCTACCCTACTGGAGATGGGAAGAACTGTCCTTCAACCTATTTTGTATAGGTATTATGGACCTTAGTAATCACAGGGAAACCTGGGATCAGCCCACAGATCATATCAGATGCATTCATGCCGAAGCTAATGAGTTTGAGATGATGTTGAGTGGGAAGAAATGTTCTGATTGGGCAATGCGTTTTCACCCTGCCTAGGCAACATTTCTTTGAAATACTTGGCTTTTACCTGGCAACATCCATTTTTCATTATATCATTTGTCAATTAGTTCAGTCGGTTAGCCATTTGTCATGAACAGAAAGGTTGATGTAGAAGTTAATATGAGCTGAAAAATTGTGACTGGAAGGAAAGGGACTGTATAAAATTATTTTTTAATAAACTCTCAATTAAGAATATTTAAACAGTTATTAAATTAAGCAATTTTTTGATGAAGCACAATGTACTGAAATACAAACTAATCATAATACAAAGAGGCAAACAAAATTAACCAAGGTTAACATCGCCAAATATATCATGTTGTTGAAATGCAGTCAATTTCTTTTATAAATTTATAAAGGAATCAGGATACAGATTTCAGATTTTAGGAAATCAGGACATCACCATTCAAACTCCTTATGAAGGTAATGTTTATGTTTCCAGCTTTGAAACATTGATGGGAATTATCCTACAGTCCTAATCCATGTATTTTTTTTCAATATGGGTCTGTCTGCACATAAAAATAAAAGAGAGAGAGAGAGAGAGAGAGAGAGAGAGAGAGAGAGAGAGAGAGAGAGGAAAATGACTTAAGTGATATTACCATCTCTCTCATCTCTATTTGCTGCAAGTATTAAGTTGGTATTGGACCATTTTTTCTATCATTTTGCCTTTTCCTCATGGCTTTCTCATTAGAGTTGAAGCAAATCCCTTATTTAAAAAAAGATTGCATTCACTGGAGTTTTTAACTAAAAAAAAGAGTAAGATGAATCACTATAAAATCATGTGTATTCTGGAGAATTAGATAGAAAAACTATCTAATACCACTAGTAAAGCTAAAATGTGGGATATTCAGGATGGCAAAAAGACACTATTGGCAACATTGTATAAAACACAGTTAAATTATTAGATTCACAATAATTAGTGATAGCCTCCAATCTTGATTGCTCTGTTTATTTTATTAAATTTAATTCCTACTTCTCCACCAATAACAGCTTTCAAAGGGGCGAGAAGATGGCTTTAAAACAATACTGATAATCACATCGTAAATCAACACTGATGATGGATCAATTCTTCCATTGCATAGGATATTAAATAATCAGACTTTGGTGTCACAGGACAGGGACATGTCCTTCCTACCCCTACTTATCCTCTTCTGCCTGAGGCAGATGCTTCCTCTTGTCCATCTTGAGATCATTGTAACTTGATTGCATGGCATCTTCCTTTAGAAAATTGTTATATTGTATCATTGAGTTATTTTTCACCCCACCCCACCCCTCTGGCTATTCTGTAATTTTCCTTGGTAAATATCAGCCCGAACTATCTCCAATTATTAGTTAGAAAATAGGAAGTCCAGCGTCCTTAGCAAGGAAAACCCTGCCCTTCTACTCTTCTCAGGTTGACTGTGTTTTCTTCACGTGTTGGAAGATGCTACAGTTAGGGTGTGGCTCACAATAGTTGTTTGAAGTAAGGATGTTTATATGGTAACATTTTAGATGTCACGCCCTTTGGTTCTAGTCCTTGTGTGGCACAAGTCCATGCTGTCTACGAAGACAGCATAAAGCAATTATTTCAGGTTTCTGTATGCTGTTATGCATACAGTTGCTATATCAAGCATGAGGAAGATGTGGAAAGGTGTAATCTTAAAGCTACCCACACATCTGTTTAAATACAAGCCTAATTGCTTTCTGAGAGTTCAATCTGACTTTTGAGAACATCATGAAGACATTAACTGGCTTGCTTTTTGTGGGTCTTCTAGCCCTCTGGACAGGTTTACCCTTCACGTCTTCCAGGGTTCTGTTTGGTAAGATATAAAATTATTGGTAGAGGAGCCTGTTTGACAAAGAAATCTGCAAAGCAGTGTGCAGGAAACCAAGACCCATTGTTAACTCTATTTAAAACTAAAATCAGATCTACTCCATATTTAATGGGCTTAAACTTACATTCAGTTTATTTAAGTAGCTTTATAAGATGGGTCGGACACTTTGCAACTAACAACAACAACAAATAATTTTAAGTAGCTTTATAACTTTCCAAGGCTGCTTAAAATGATTAACAGTACAAAATGGTAAACACAGTATAGAGCAAGTTGAAGATAATTGCCACAAATTATAATTGAAGCAAATCATCCTTCAGGTCTACCAAATAAATTTAACTGATTAGCTAAAAATAGTTGTAAAGGGTGGTGAGAAATAGTGTTATGTACAATATTTTCTTTTGTTTTCTTCCTCATATTGGTGAGATCAACATTTTGTTGTCCTGATACTAATGGAAAACATACTTAGGCCTCTTCCAGAAGGGAGTGCAAAATTAAACTGAATTGTGCCTCCTGCTGATCAAATGACATGGAACATCAGTGTGCAGTGTCTGTGGCATCTTTCTGCTGCAGTCTTGAGGAATCCGGTTTTTAGGCAGCAAATGTTGCTGCACAAGCAAGAGTGATTACAACATTGTCTTGCTTGGGGCAGTGATTCTAAAGAATGCATTCTTCATCTTACCTCCTAATTCCTATTGTCCAATTTTGGTGAGAAGATGGCATAATTATTTGAAATGTTCCAATAAGAATCAGTATTCCCAGAGGTATGCTGTGGCAATAAGTAACTGATTTTTTTTCCAGTTTATTTTCTTTCTCTTTTCTTTTTATGGTGAGATAAATGAAGGTCTCTTTCCTGGCTGGCAAATAAGTACTGACTAGATAAGATATGTCAGTATTTTTATTTTGGCCAAAAAAATGTAAGCTCTGATGGGCTGTCAGTTCTCTGTGATTGTTGTGGATTTGCAATGTTTTAAACATGTCCATTCTATAGTATCTGGTGGTAATCATAAAAAAATATTTGCAAGATTTTAACTGTGCAGTCAGAAAACAAGGAGAGAGTTTGTTTATCAGGAAATGCCTGTTGGTGTGTACATAAATTTATTCATTTATATTGCAGATTAGGCAAAGAGTAATAAAGAAGGAACAGTGCAATTATTAAAATAGAACAGGTACAAAAAAGTTGAATCTAAGTATAAAGTATATATAGGCAAATATAACATAGGTTTCATATAATCAATACATGATCTTACTCATAATAAGTGCTATGGGCAAGTACATTTCAATAAAAAAATATTTTTGAAGGGTATTTGCATATTTTGCATTGTTTTTTTTTTCCTTTCAACAGGAACCGGTATTTGCCCCGGAAATCCATTTCAGTGCTCTTTACCTGGAAGTAATCGTTGCAGGAGTGATTATGACTGCCCTCAGACCCTACGTTGCTGTAATTTCAGATGTAGCACAAGTTGTAGATTCCCACCAGGTAATCTTATTTTTAATAAACAGTAACATTTCTTACAGTTCTGGGCCTAGTTTCCTGTTGAAGCAGAGAAGTTGGGGACTCTGGATTGGGTATCTTAATATCAATATCAATCTGGTAGATTTAATTCTCTGTTAAGATTTGTCTTTCAGAAGGGAATTTATGGGTGGGATATATAAGGCTAATACAATAAGGCATTTGGTAAATTAGTTATTGAAATTAGGAATCTTGCAGACCAAATGCCAGTAAGGGTCTTTTCCAACTGTTCCTGAAACTTTGCAAGATGTGATTTTAATAAGGTGACCAACCGTCCTCCTTTAGGGAGGACAGTCCTCCTTTTGTAAGTTCTGTCCTCCCTCAAAAAGTGTCCTCCTTCATGTTCTCCTTTTCGATATCTGAAGATTAATCTGCAGGGCTTTTTTTTCCCCTCATAGAACGCTCAGAACAGTATTCCAGCACCTTTTTTTGATGGTTTTTTTTTCAACTTTTGCATGAGCTGTGCTACTCCCACTATTGGCTTTCGAAAGCCAATAGGAATTGCTGCTGAGCGCGCCAAAACACCCGGCTGGCAAACTTTGCACATGCAAGTTGTCTATATTATTGTTGCAATGAATAAAATGTTTCTTTTATTTACGATATTTTTTCTTCAATTTATTTGTGTCCTCCTTTTCATTATAAAAAAGTTGATCACCTTAATTTTAAGGGTCTACTCTGTGATGCTCTGCTCTTTTTTCTTTTCATGGAATCTGTTCAATAGGCCCTTATATACATGTCTATTTTTATAGATTCCATCAAATGGTTTCAGATATGATTCATTTCTGACACTGATAGTATAAGTGTGTGTTTAATATGCTTCAAACTGGGAAGAAGCATCAAAGTCAAAAGATGTTAAAGAAATGCCTCTCTGTGGATGTTTTTAATTGCCATCATGGCTTAAAAAAACACCATAGGGCTGCACTATATTTCAAAGAATGATCAAAATTAGTTGGTGTTTGACTAATGGTTAACAACAATTCTGTCCCCCCACACTCTCTCCCCTCCATTTCAGTGCGTCCTTGGAGTTGCCCACGAAATCCATTTAAATGCACTATCCCAGGAATACATCGCTGTCGTTATGACTATGATTGTCCAGGAAGACAAAGGTGTTGCTACTATAATTGTTCTAGGATCTGTAAATAAGGTATCATCATCAATTCTTTCTCATGTATCATTTTGCTTTATATCATTTGTTATCAGAACAATCTAGAATTGTGGGAGAGGAGCCGTAACTTAATTGCTGCTAGACCAATCAAAAACACTTTCTGACTTATTTCAGACACTAATTTCTGGTGTTTTCTAAATGGTTAAACCCTCTCTTTCAAAAGTGACCATTGTGGAAATGGTTTCTACTACTATGCTTCCTTAGAGGTCTCCTGCCAGACCTCTGACTTCTTCTGCCAGACCTCTAGACCCTGAGTAGGGTTTAGACAAAAGGACCATTATGGCCTTTTCAATCCTACGGAAGGAATGATTCCCATGCTTTTAAAAAATGTTTTCTACCAAATTTTTCTCGAAGCACATACGAAATCAGAAAAATTGTGTTTTTTTACTTTACAAGTTCCAGGTTTGTTTTTTTGTTTTTTTTTTTAAAAAACAACCTCATTTTTTTTTCTTAAATCCAATATTTTTAGCTCCCATTTTTTTGGTTGCTGCAAATGTGCAAGTATTTAATTGAGCTGGTTTTGGTATATGATCTAAATAGAAATTGCATACCGTAAATCCTTAAGAACATTTAATCAGCATTGTTCTGTTTTACATGATTAAGGGTGTTTTTCTATCTTTTTATTCCAGGCATTCTGTTGCCAGACAATACCAACTTCCTTCAAACACCTAGGATAAAATTCATCAAATCTTCCACCCTATGTTGCTAGAAAATGCTTTCACTTAATTTTCCCTCTTTCTCTCTCTCTCTCTCCCATCCAACATCAGTAGTAATTAGCTGAACAGATTGAATCAAGAGAAATTAAATATTTCTCTGAAATACATGTGATTCATTATAAAGTTTCCATGACAGATGTTTGTTTGTTTTTTCATAGGCCAGAATTTAATGTCGATGCCCAGAGATTGTTTTACATTGAATCAAAGTTACATATAAAGTCCGTGTACTAGATAAATCGATCTTGGTTTGCTTTGGAGAAGAAGACACAATTGCCAGCAAAATGGTTTTTTATATGATTCTTTAATTCCTTCTCACGAACAGTGGTTACCAACATATGCACCCATATAGTTGGTTATTTTGTTCTGGGTTTGAAATCTATTATATAAACCTAAAAATAAAGTAGGATTCCCAGTCCACCTCACAAAAACACAATTCTTGAATTTATCTCTGCAACAGTAACTTTTTGATCATTTCAGAATTGATGGATATTTTATTTTCTTCTGCTTTCCATTTTTATGGTATTGAACCTTTACAAAGTCCACAAATTGCATTAAATAATCACTTGGTTTATTTGACTTTGGTATGGCATGATGTATGAGGCTGGTAAGCTATGGGCTGTAGTTATTTGTGGATTCAGCCTATTTGATAAACCCTAGTTAAAACAAACCATGATTTTGCTTATTGTGTGAAACCATACTAAAAGCAATAAATAGAAAAAAGCAGATACAGTGCAACCTTGATTTAACAGATCCCTATTTAGCAGACTTTGAATGCAACAGACCAAATATGTAACCCACATCTCCCTAAAACAGCACATGTGTGTTACAGAGATAACATTATGCAAATGATAATAATTCATCTGATTATGCTAATAACATAAATTTGTCTACATGAGATAAAATGCATAATTTACATAATAAAATCATTATGAATGATGCAAATCTTTGCAATGCTGTAAATCAGTGCAATGATTTATTTTTGAATGTAACAGATAGCCAAGTATGAAAACAGTAAAACAATGATACAAATATGAGTTTATAAGCACTACCACCAGAGGGCAGAGAAAAACCATTTAGAGGACAACTTATTTTGAAAAAAAGCTTCAGCCTATTCTAGATATGAATACAGTTCAGGTTTCCTTGAAAAAAAATCCAAATGCAAGAATTTTCATATGGGGAAAGTATTTAATCAGTTTACTGCCCCCCTGAATAGTCAAAGCAGCTCCAAGTGCCTTAAAACCATGAATCAGAAATAGATTGAAATAGATATTCAACAGTAAAACAACATAATTTAGGGTAAGAAAAACTTACACTGGGAAACAACAATATAGTTATGTGGGAACTCACAGATAAGGTCCCAGACTCCTCTATCTGATGGTCTTCTGAAAAGGCCAAAGTTTTCCAAAAGCAGAATGGTGTCAGGGCCTTGCAGATGTTTGGGGGAATGCTGTGTTAGAAGACAGGTTCTACAAGCAAGACACATCTCTTGGGTACCATGATGGCATTACTTTACTGATGGGATGTGGGGCATTCTAGCCCTGACAAATGTAAAACAACCAGCAGTCCTATAGGGATCTAAGCCTCTAAGCAATTATGTCACAATTGAATATCCTTTTTTTATTGCACAATCCCTCACTAACGTAAGGGCTGATGTAGTTCCCATCTTCAAAAAAGGGGAAAAAATTGGCTCCAGGAAACTATAGATCTATGTACTGTATATCAGGTATGTTTTCTCCTTGGAGCAAAAATCAAAGATGTGGATGAGAACCTTATTAAAATAATCAAGCCCACGGATTACTATTCCTTTCTTCTCCTTCATGTGGGGATGAACAACACAACAATGAACCTGGAAACAATATCAAGAGATTACGAGTAGCAAGACAAGAAATTTAAGGAATTAGGAGCACAAGTGGTTTTTTCATCTTTATTTCTAACAAAAGGTCAACATCCAATGATGGAACAAAGGATTTTAGAAATGAACCATTGGCTTAAGGATTGGTGCTGCCAAGAGAACATTGAATTCCTAGACCATGGTCTGCATTATCAACATGAAGCCTTCTGGCAAGGGTTAGGCTGCACCTCACAAGAACTGGAAATAATGTATTCAGAAAATGACTGGCTCAATTTATCAGAGGAACTTTATACTAAAATTGAGGGGAGACGGTGATCAATTTTTAGGATCTTTAGGACCTAATCCCAAGCATAAACCCCAAGACAACCAATCAAATAAGGAGGCAGGGAGTGATGGGAAGGAATAAAAATTCACATACAAAGTAGGAGATGTAGGAAGCATACCTAGGGTCAGCCATAAAGGATTCAGATACCTGTATACTAATGCTCAAAGTCTGGAGGACAAACAGGGTGAACCTGAAATATTAGCACACAAGGACAGGTATGATATACAGCAGTTGCCATTTCTGAAACTTAGTGGGATGAAACTCATGACTGAAATGTACTGATGGAAGAATATATATAAACAGAAATGTGGTAGACTATAATTGCACCTAATTGTAATAATAGTTTTGCCAAACAGTTTTGTGTGCTTCACTTCTCTCTCCTCCCCTCAAACAGTTTCCATGTGGTTCCTCTGAATTCAGTGCAGTTCATCCCAAGGAGGACAGATCAGGGGCCTCTGAGATGAAAACAATATCTATATTCACCAGAGAAGGGAAGAATGTGGGAAAGATTAGGCTGCAAGGCTAAAGTGAGCAGAACATGGAGGATATTTCCCTTGTTACCAAGAACATGATTACCTGGAACCCAGTGGGTCCTTGAGAGGAAAGTGCTAAAGTACTACATGAATCACAGAGGTACATATTCTGTGTCTACACAGCAGAGTGCACAATGATAAAAACAGGATTTCTGATTTGGTTGACAATAATGATCCCCTTAGGATAAATAATTATACGATAAATAATTATACCATTGATCAGTAGATATTGGGCACATCCTGGGGTGGACTAGTATGGGACATTTGGGCAATAGGAGAAGGAAGCACATGAAAAAAACAATATTGGTGGAATAAATATTCATACATGTTCTATACTTTAAACAAACTTTAACATATAATGTATGTAAGATAATTGCTTTTTTATCCTGATCAGGAATTACAACTCAGCAATCCCAATATATAAACAGAAATGTGGGTAGGACTATAGTTGCACTCAACTATAATCATAGTTTTGCTAAACAGTGTTGTATGCTTCAATTCTCTCTCCTTCCCTCAAATGTAAGCAATTGTTTTGTTCTCCCTTTTGTTGAAACAGAGAGCAGGGCTGATTAATACCACCAATATGCTGGGGTTGCATAGAATACAATCACTTTTCCATGTCTTTAAATCTGGAACCTTGATATTCTGCAAAAGATCTCCTTTTTCTGCTCATGTTCTCTGTTCGGCAGGCAGAGCATTAAAATCAAATATTTATTCAGTAGTTCCTGAGGTGTAGTGAGGTATTACTTGATCAAATTTCATTTTCCAACCTTTCCTTTATTCATCCGCACGATGCCAGCTTGGTCATCTCCAATAGATAATTTTTAAAAGATGGCACTGTATCCATGGTTGTGTAAATTCCATTAAACTGTCATGCTATGCCCCAAATTTTTGTGTTTCAGAGAAGGAAAAGTGGACAATCACTTAAATATGAGCAAGCTGTATGTTGCAACTGCCAAAAAACCCAATACAGTCCTAGACATAGGCATAGAATCAAGATCACATGAAGTGTTAATACCACTAGATAATACCCTGGTAAGACTACTTGGACTATTGCATTCAGGATTGGTCACCATGATATAAAAAAGATGTTGAGACCCCAAAAAGTGTCTGGAAAAGAGTAACAAAAATGATTAGGAAACTAAAATATTTGAAAAACAGTTGCAGAAACTGGACATATTTATTTTAATGAAAAAAATATTAGGGGGTGACATGACAGCAATATTACAATATCTGAGGGGCTGCCACAAAGAAGAGGGGATCAATTTATTCTCCAAAATACCTGAAGGCAGAACAAGAACTTAGGAGAAATTTCCTGACAGAACTCAAATAATGCCTCCAGAAGTTGTGGGTTTTCTAACACTGTTTTTTTTAAAGAGATTGGACAACCATTATTTTCCAGCTTGAGGAAAATTGGTCAGTTCTATATCTTAATTGGTCATTGGGAGGGACTTCAATGTTTTATCACATCCCAATGACCAATTAAGACATAGAACTGATCAGTCAGAACACAACTAAACTACATTTCCCAGAAGCCATCTTTTAAGGAGACAGCATTTAACCCCTTAAATGCTACTTATATATGCTCTGGCCAGATGGTTACATACATACTGGTCCAGCACATGTTCCTTCCTTTCTCTGATGAATACAGATATTGCCTTCACCTCAGAGGCCTTTAATTCCTCTTGCTTGAGATGAACTACCTAAATTCAGAGCAGCCATCTTGAAACCTAATTTGTTGGTGTTGTTAGAGTTTACTAAACATCCTATAGTTGCTAGTCCTTGACTCTTATTTTCAGTTCTCCAATCAATTATTGTTTATTTAAATTTTATAAATAACTTATAATCCATATCTGGCTCCTCAGTTGATTAAAGAGATTTGGCATCTCCATATATTCAGTGATTTTATAGCACCTTTCAGATCCCTTCATCAGCCTGTCTGTTGATGAAGAGATGAGAACAGCATGATATGTTTTGTTGCCATTATAAAACCTCTGCCTCTTCCTGTTTAAAGGTCCTTCCTTCCTTCCTTCCTTCCTTCCTTCCTTCCTTCCTTCCTTCCTTCCTTCCTTCCTTCCTTCCTTCCTTCCTTCCTTTTCAGATAGTTGCAGCTTGTTATATACATATTTTAAATGAATAAAGTAAAATACAGAAAATAAATGTTTTGATTGCAATGGAAATAGTTATTTCTCTATTATAAATAAAGTTACTTTATCAAATTTCATTTTTCAATTCTTCTTTATTTATCTGCAGAATAACATCTTGGTGACCTCCAATGCACAAGTTTTAAAAGAAGACAATATATCCACTGCAGAGTAGATTCCACTAAACTTGATGTTACAATCACTTTTCTGTATTTTAAAGAAAGAAAAGTTTGCAGTTTGTAAAAGAAGTACTTTTAAGAATCACTTTGCAAATAACTACAACATTGTGCCTTGAATTCTTAACCCTTACATAAGTCCTAAATTATACTAGACTTGGTAGTACTAAATGTCCTTAAGGGATATAATAGGACAAGGAAAGCTCCCCCCAACTACCTAAGTCACAAGTGAAGAATTCCACAATAACAACCACATACACTTCCCTCACAGGCTTAGGTTCCAGCCCCTACTGAAAGGGATCTAACAGTTCATTTTATCCCTCTTTTCAGTCAGCTTTTCCCCAGGTCACGTGATCCTGTTTCTCCTCTAATCTTTCTTAAGTTCCAAAATGTGTATCTCCTTCTTCAGGTTTCACAACTAGTTATATCATTTGGAAAAAATAGGCAGCCGGACAGAATTGGGGGGATTTTGAATATTATTACAAGAGTAAATAATTAAATATTAAATTTTGGAAGTATTAAACACAAAACTGTTGCCCTATACTTACTGTGTTGATTGCTTTTTAAAAAATGAATGTCATATTATGATGTAGGAGATTGTCTTGGTTGAGATATTGAATGTGGAAAGTAATATACAGGATAGTGCTAAATGCTTGAATGTAAAATGAGCTAACTACATTATAGTTCCAAGTAACTCTCACTTAACCACAA